TTGAAAAAGATAAAAGGACTGAAGATCAAATAATTTCGTACAAGCCAAATAACATGCCAATGGAAGATCTCTTCATTATTCAACCCAAGAAACCAACTAAAGAAGAAGAACGTATAGAAACGAATAAATTCACAAAGGAGCAAAATGAATTAGTGATATTCAAAGAAGATGGGATTAGCATGCAAATCTCCAACTTCATAGATTTTATGATTAAAGTCGATGATAAAATTGAAGTATTCTTAGTTAAGTTCGAATTGAGCAATTCAGGCGTCATACTGTATTCAAAATGACAAAGTACGATTTTGGAGAACGTGTGAAATATGGAACAAAGTTAAATTTAGCAAGCCAAGCAGAACCTCCAAAGCCATATTCAAAGTGCCATGAAGCAATTGTTCAAAAGTCTAGTTAAAGACTTTAAATTAAGTGCTTATTGGGAAATAACCGAATTTCTTACCATTTTATTTGTTTTGCTTTTTGTATTTGCATTGTATATAGTCTATTATGGTGCATTAATTTTAGGTATGTTTCTGTTTCAATAAGAGAGTCTTCATATTTAGATTAAGTCTATTAAAAGAAATCGTATATTTAAGTGAAAAACAGTAGAAAATAAACATGCCGCATTTTTCAAAGTTTCAAGGACAAGAAAAAGGATTATCATACATGCTACATTATTGCCTTTAAATTGCTCTTGACTCTTATAATTGTCTTCTTTTATCTTTCAAATTTAAATGGATATCAATCAAGAGGCAGTTTAGCAAAGAATAAAATGAACTGATCCAATAAGCCACCTCAAATATTATATAGAAAATCTGGGAAGTACCTTCTTCTTTCATTCCCACCCCTTTATGTGCTAGATTATAGTTTAAGACATTAAGGATAATGTCTAATTTAAGTTTGGGGGTGGAAAAATATTGAGTTTTTAGCTTTATTATTTTTGTGTGATTGTGTGTTGTTGAATTTAATTATAATCATGCTAAAAATCGAGAATCACAATACAATAAATTAATAAAACAAATTCATATCCGCGGAAGTCATTGTTGATATGAATAATAGTTGTAATAACAGCCAGATCTTCCCCTTCTCGCTTCTTATACAGTATTAGCCATCAGTGGGACAAGTTAATAAAACAATATGGAGAGGAGAGGGGACCTAGCCTTTATATAGGAAATAATTGAGTCGTCCCATTACGACTAGAACTCTAATTAGAGTTTATTTTTGGTCTACATACTTAAAATCACCACATCATATTAAAACAACCCGTAAGGTATAAAAGGCTCAATTGATCACTTAACACATTTGGCCCAATCACAAATAACATTATGAGCCATACATCTAACCCGTAAAATAAATAATCAAATGTGAAGCCTATATTAGAAATATTCCAACATGTGTTTCTATTTCTTTATTATATATTATTTTTTTATTAAAAAAATTGAAAAAAATTTAAAAATTTAAAAAAGATTTTCTTGTTTATTGTGTGTTTGTATGTGTTAGGTAACTTGCTGACAAATATATTTAGAATTATGTGCTAATTTATGAACTGTGGATATGTTACATGCTTATATTAATTGATTCATATACATGTAAAACCTAATACTGTTTATACACATGAATTAAATTCAGTATTATAAAGTAATGAGTTGATTCATATGCTTGATAGGTTGAAATAATATAACATAGATAATAAATCCAAAAGTTACTGCAATATGCATCATTCAACTAAATTTAGAATGGTTTCAAGGTAATTTTACTATTGTAGTAGAGAGATATTCATATCAATGGGGATTTCATGTGTAAATTCTTGTATGGATTGTCTAAGGCCAATATGATGAAAATTAGGTAAAAATATTTAAGTTACAGTTGACTTTTGAGAATTGGTGTTTAATGAGGAGGTATTGCACTAATCATGGCAAAAAGAAAAAATGAAAAAAGAAAAAGAAAGAAAGAAAGAAAAAAAGGCTATCTCATTGTGAAACATTTCTTCGTAGTCTTTATGACTCAGGTAATTAAGCTTGTAAGAGTATTTAAAAAATTGGCATCCTATAATCATCTGATTTGGGAGTCGTCAGCCTAAAGTTCGCTACAAGGGTCATTTAGAAAGCTTATTGGAAAGAAGTTTGCACGTAAGATAAGAAAAAATAATGATTATATATTTACTTACTACATGCCTTGACTAAGTCCCAAACACTTATTTGAGAAAATTAGATCTTCGACAAAGGGATTGTTAGGCTAGTTGAGCCTTGGAAGTTGAAGCAATGAAAATTTGAAGAATCCTTATCTATTGAAATATTTTCTTGCAATTAGTAAGATCCATCTAAACTAGAGAGGGTGAGGAGTTAGTATAAAGATTCAGCCTTAGATCGAACACTGAAAAAAGAGTAAAAAAAGAATAAGTTTGGGGATTTGTAAATCTTAGGAGTGAGGAACATAAAAATTTGATCATCGAGGGTAGGGACTTGGAACAACTCTTGAATTTATAGTGTTTTACTGAATTCTTCACATACACATCAATTTTGCAATGGAAAAGTAGATACTAATTTTGGTAATGCGACCTTGAAGCTATTTACAGATCTGATACAATGATTCTGATCCTAAGGTAAAATGATAGGTTATCTAACCAAAACCTTTTGTACGTTTGTGTGTTCGTTAAATTAGGTTATGATTTGTTTGAGGACAAACAAATATTTAAGTTTTGGAATGTTTGATAAGTGTGTTTTATACATTTATTTAGACCTAAAAATACAAACATTGAATATTTTTTTGAACAATTATACCCTAATTTATTGTATATTCCATTCATTAGTTGAAACTTGATGAATGAAAGTGGAATTGAAAGGAAAAAAAAAGGGCAAAAATTGACAAAAATGGCAAGATCCATAGTTTGCGAACTAAAGTATAAATATTCAAAAGTTGTTTTGAACCTCACGATAAAAATTCGAGAATGGTCGGGATCAATTGGATGCAACTAAAAAGTGGAATTGAAAAAAAGGAGCAAAAATTGATGAAAAAATGACAAGATCCATAGTTTGGGGAATAAAATGTAATTATTAAAAAGTTTTGTTGAACCTCACGATGAAAATTCGAGAACGATCGGGGTCAATTGGATTTAATTAAAAATCAGAAGGAGTAAAATATGATCAAGATATGGACATGGTGTTGATTTTCAACTGCATAAGTATGTTTTAGTTTTTAAGCTTAAGATTGAAACCCATTTTTGACCTTGTAAACATTCAAGTTGGAAAATGGATATGTCAAGTAAATTTATAGAGTTATCTTTATAACTCAATTTGAATTGCCTCAATTGAAAATTGGGAGAGAAGGTTATGATAAAAATACTAAAAAAGGCACAGTACAAATTTTCCCCAAAAGGTGGTGCCATCATGCCTCCGAGGCGCCACCATTCTGTGCTCACAGCACCACTACATGGCATCAAGGCGCTGCTTGGGTATCTCTAGGGTACTTCTTTACCCGTTTTGAAATCCACGAAAGCCCTACTTTTAACATAATTGTGGGAGCCACTATAAATAGAAGTTTTTAACACTTATGAAGGGGATTCCACAAATTGAGAGATAAAAAACACAACTTGAGAATTAGAGAGTGAATTCAAGATGAGAAAAATAACAATACAAAGGTTTGAAATCAAGATTTGGAACGAAAAGAGGAACTTAGTGCAAGATCTATCATCTTTTCTACATTTTAATTCAAAATTCGGTGATGTACTCCAGGGATGGACCCAGAATTATTTTTCAGTTGGGGCGAGATGGAAAATTGACTAAAATAAATTGTGAAAAAACCAATAAAAATCTAAAAATTTAAATTTAATAAGGTCAAATAGAAGGTTTTCTAAAAATTAGTGGGGGCAACCGACCCTGATGTATTCAATGCAATTCTTTAGCTTTTATTCCATTATCATGAGTAGCTAAATACATATTAGGACAGAAAATGTAATTTTTTGATATCCTTTGTTTCTTTTATTTGAGATTCAAGTTCTTTAAATGCACGTGTTGATTTTAATTATATACTTAATGCTTTGAATTCTTTGGCCAATTGTTCAATGACTTCGTGAATCTATTATGAATCGAGAAGTGAGATTTAGATTTAGACCACATATTAAAATTCAGTAAATTAGTATAAGGTTTAGAGATACCACACCGATTATTGCAATCCTTGTATGAATTCTTAAAGCTAATATTTCGTTTAACTAAAATTGATTGGCATAGAGATACAGGATTGGATTAGTTAAATAAGCTCAAATAGAATTTGAGAGGGGTAAATTGAATACAATAGAAGAATTCGACAAAATACTACATTAGTCTTTTGAATCTTGAAAAGAGATTTAAATGTGATCAATAGGTGAAATTGTTTTACTCTAATATTCGTTCATTATTTAAATTATAAATTAGTTTTTGTGTGCATCCACATATTTTCAAGTAGTTATATTAAAAATCACAATAGTTGATTCTTTGTTTGTTTTTTTTATCAAATTAAAGTTAGGAATAATTGAACTAATTATTAAATAGTAGTCATTGTGGGAACGATATCCAGACTCTTAGGTCCACTTTATTACTTGGTAAGACCCCTACACTTGCGGGATATAAAAGCGACAACACTCTACAGAAAATGCTAAAATAGAATATGTAATACCATAGCTAAGATAGAAATCGGACAAGAGGAAAGGCAAATGAACCTAACTATTTTCTCTCATACAAACCACATAAATTCTATTACCCATCACGATCGCCATCATCGTCGTGTCATTATTCCTTTTTACCCTATCACATATGGATCTGCACAATTACAAATAAAAGCGCGCGCACACACACACGTATATATATATTCTAGCATTCAAGAAGTTAAAAAATCAACTGTTTTTCTTTCAGTTCCAAGAAGTTTAGAAAAACATAGTTACTAGGCAGATCTCAGGGCTCATATTTGCACAAATCAATTTCTTGAATAACACTAACTTCTTGTTTACGTCCGTTTATCTTGAGCCACAAAAAGTGATTAATCAACTCCTCGTTTAAAAAAGACAAATGAATACATTTCTCACCAATTTTCTCCTAAATCTTACCCTAGAAAGCCACTGTTGTTGCGCCGACAGACAGTCCTCACCACTTCCAGCCTGCATTACCCTGTTGAGAAAAAATCAACCACAATTTATTTACCTCTAAAATAGAGACCAGGTTTTGAAAACTTAAAAAGACAAATGAACACATTTGTCGCCCATTTTCTCCCAAAATCGTACCCTAGAAAGCCGCTGTTGTTTCGCTGACACACAATCCTTACCACCTCTTGCCTGCATCAACCCGTTAAAGAAGAAATCAACCTCAATCTATTTACCACTAAAATAGAGACCGAGTTTTGAAAATATCTCCATAACAAGTTGATCCAAATTTGTAGATCGATGAACAAGATGTGAGCAGCAAACTTCCAGCCACTGTGAAGTCTAGACCACAATCATCATCTGCCATGAACACATCATTTATACACATCACTTGAGAGTAAGCAATTGTTGTGGTTGTTGCTATCTTTTTGTACCGGTTTTATATTTGTGTTCAACGAAATAAATTCTTCGTCTCCGTCAACGACATTTTTTGATTTTGACATGGATTTGTTTTCGTTATCATGCTTGTGATTTTGTAAGGGTTTTACAATTGCTACTATTTCCGATGTATTGTATACAAGTCACCAATTTGAGCTTTATATTTGGAGATTAAAAATGTTGGCGAGAATTATATTTTCATTTTTGGGTTTTTCCTTGCTGGAATCTAATTTAGCCGTATTTTGCTTTGTATTTTTTGGGTTTTCCTTGCTATCATCTAAAAATTAGTGAGAATTATACCAATTTGAGCTTGCATTTTGCTTGTTCGCTTAATTCGTGCCACAATAAGAAAAATTTTGACATTATTTCTCATGGTTTAATTATATGTTAGAATGGCTGGGAAGAATTCTAGAATTTACCACAGCCGTAGAGGCAAAAGGCACTTATTCATCGAATGCCCGATTAAAGAACAATGCCTATTGTGTAAGAATAGATTTTAGAAGTGCTTTGAGGTCGAAAAGCCGAATGCTAATAAAGGGAGATTAATCACATGTTGCAGTAATAAATGTGGCTATAGGGATTGGGCTATAGAAAGACAGTCAAGCGGTGAATCCAATAACGCTAGCTCTACCTTTGTTACACTTGCGACCAAGGAAGCAGTTGAAGATATGTTCCACTTGTTAAAATCTTAGGTTCGACTAATTGAAGAAGTAGACATCGAGATATCTATGAATGTGACGATCAACAGGGAAAAAGGTGGTGCAGAAGGGATTGCAAAAGTAAAGGGATCGATTTGATTTGTAGTTAATTCGTTGAACGTGTTATATGCTAACTTATCTAACCTGGACTTCGTAAGACCTGTTCTATGATTGTACTCTAGGTGGACTTTAATGATTCTCCAGGAGACATGCATATATGAAGATGTAGATATCCTGGCTTTATAATTTGTCTTAATTGTCAGTTGCGACTTCAAAGAGCTACTTGTAGTATCACTTCTTTTGCCTTCCTGACTACATGTCAACACCAAATATTTCAAAATTCCATTGTCATCCTTTTTGAATTATGTTTCCTAATTGAAAAACCAACGGCATAGGCATATCTTTTGTAGAAATCAAACATTTCATTTTCATTCTTAAATGGCATTCCCACCTCGGGCACAATACCACCATCTCCTTCTACAATTTCATCTTTCAATTGGTTCATATTGTCTTCCACATTCTGATATTCTAATTCCAACAAAATATCATCATCCATGTCATCCATGATTTCTTTAGCTGCGAAAAATATAAGTATTTAAGTTTAGCAAAACATTAACACTGTACAAATACATACCGATACAAATCATGCTTTTGAATGTAGATGCATGGATTTGTTTAGCCTTCATTCCTTCTCATGAGCTGAAAATCAATTACAGAATAAGTCAATTAAAAATATCAATTTTGAAATTTCACTTATATTTAACATCTACAGCATGATCATTGTTCCAAAATTCACTATCCTCAATCTGACGGAAAACATAGAAATGTATGGTTTCATGTATGCATTGAATTTTGGATGATGCATAACCTATATCATAAAAATTTTAGAAATTAAAACAATGTACTAAAACAAAGTGCTCATACTCCTGTGTAATTTGTTGGCTTATACGTTTACATTAAGTTGGAGCTGAAATATGGGTCATTCAGATGAAGCTCGAAGCTGGACTGAAAGAAGATGGACCTTTACGTTCAGACAAAGCTCGAATAGAAGATGGAGATGATGGACCTTTACGTGGCAAGGTGTTTTGACTAAGCAGGGTGTACTAAACCAAAGTGCTCATACCTTCCTATGTAATGGGTTGGGTTATAGGTTTACATGAAGCTGAAGCTAAAAGATATGTCAGTAAAATGAAGCTCGAAGCTGGACTGAAAGAAGATGGATCTGTTGGAATACTTTCAAATATGGGATTCACATTCGATTGTAAAATTTCACAGGTTAGATGTATGACTTACAATGACATTATAATTAGACCGATTATGTTAAATGATTAATTTGGGCTGTTTTACACCTTACAGGCTTTATTTGATATAATGTGGTAATTTCAACTATGTGGGCCGAAATTATACATAAACCTTAATTAAGGTTTAAGTCGATAATGGGACGACTAAATAAATTCCTATATAAAGGCTAGATCAGCTCTCCTCTCCATATTGTCTTTCATTAGCTTATTCCATTGATAGCTAATATTTTGTAAGGAGTAAGGAGGGGAAGATCTGGCTGGTATTACAATTGCAACTATTATTTATATCAACGATGGCTTCCGCATATATGAATTCGTTTTATTAATTTATTGGATTGTGATTATCGATTCTTAACATGATTAAAACTAAATATTAACAGTTGGTATCAAAGCTTTCATGTCAAGATCGAAATCCTTCATGAAATCCTTTATGTGTGTGTGTGTGTTGAATGCTGCGAAACCAAAAAAAAAAAATACTATTGCTTTAGTGTTTTCACGATTCTGTGCATATAATTTTGGCTTTGTACATATATGTATAATACATTCATCATGTAAACATCAAAAGAAATACAAAACCCCAAATCTCCAAAAACCCAATCCCTTTTCATCTCATACCCATATGCACATCATCTTCTACTTTCTATTGAAAGCGCTTGTTTTCATATCAATTTTAATTTGTGAATTGATTGAAATTGTGATGTTTTCCCGTTTCTCCAACTCCACCTTGTGTTTGTATGTATATATATTTTGGATCTTGATTGCCTAATGTTCTAATGTTAAATCAAAATAAAAATAAAAAAATTGGGCGAGACTTTGCTACTATGTTTCGGGCAGCAGCGCTGGTGGTACCCGACGCCACAGAAGAATTTTTTTTATTATATTCTGGGTGTTTCTAAGAAAAGGGCAATAAGTGGAAGACGGGGGCTCCTATTGTAAATAACTGATTTCCAAGCCCCTATTTGCAATTGTAGATTGGGGTTAGGTTTTGTAAATAATAAAAGGAGGGTCTGTCATGTAATTTACATAGTTGAAGGACCGGGTTTTAATTTGAATTTAGGGTTAAAATGTAATTTTCAGTAAGGGGCTCTTAATTTGAACTTTTAAAATCTTGGCCCTAAAATTTTAATTTTTGACCCAATTAAAAGTTTTATTTAATAATTGACTCAATTGAAAAATATTAAATAATAATTTAATTGACGACTTTTGTATTATTTCATTAAAATGATTATGCATTGAAATGCTGCCATTATTTGCGCGCTTAAATTTCAATTTTTATATATACTGAAATATTGAAATTTGTTGCTCATTTTGTCTCCAAATCACATATAAATTGCCGTTTATCGATTAATGATTATGAATTGTTACATAATTATTGTTTTTTGATTGAATTTTTCATGGGCATTGAGACAATTCTTATTTTCCCACTGAGAGAGAAATATTTTGAAATAAAAATGGGTGGTAGCTACCAAAGTGGCACACTCATTATTATTTATTCGGTTTTCTCTACATAAAAATATATTTTTTTTTGTACAACAATTTTGATTTATTGTATATAATATCTTGCCCAAAGATGATATTATATGTGATTTTTTGAAAATGGAATAAGGCAATTAATGAGCTTATTTTGGACTAGATATTTCCTTCTGCCCAATGGTGTTAGTGTTTCGAAAATCAATGTAATTTTGTTAACTAGTTACATGATGTGTTTTAAAAGTACCTTATAGCATGTTGTATTGTCGGCTTAAAGGTGACTTTATAATGATGCATCTAAGCTTTTATCGTAGTAAGATTCATATGCTTTTGATTTTAATTACTGATTATCTAATTAATAGCCCATATTAATTAGTTGGGTAGTTTATCATCCATTTGATTGCATGCATTATGTTTGGATGATATTGAGTGCGATATTTTATGTTTCCACAGTTTACACTGTCTCATCTCTTTTGAATCAATTGTCTATTATTTAAAACTTGATTGGGAATAACTATGTGAAATGGAAACGAGACAGAAATAGCACTTGGTCTTTTGGGCTTGGATTTTATAATTGAGAAAAAGCTTGAGAAACCCACAGATAAGAGCAATGTTGAATATGTAGCCGAGTATGAAAAGTAGGAAAGGACCAAATAAATCTGTTTAAAAATCATTCAGCGATCGATATCTGATTCTATTCTAGGTGCCATCCTCGATAATGAAAATGTCAAAAGTTTTATGGATGCCATAAGAGAAAAAATTATTGAGTCTGATAAAGCTGAAAATGGAGATCTGATGGATAAATTGATTAGCATGAAATATGATGGTACAAGTGGTGTTAGGGAGCGTGTTATGAAAATGATAAATATATCATCTAAACTAAAGGCTCTTAACATTCTCATTGCAGAGTCTTTCCTAGTCTATCATGTTTTAAACAGCCTTCCTAGCCAGTTTAATTAGCTTAAGGTTGTTTATAATGCTCAACGGGATAAATGGAATTTGAATGACCTCATAGCAGTGTGTGCCCAAGAAGAGTATAGGATGCGCTGTGAAACAGTTGAAACTGTGCAATTAGCTTTTCAGCCATCACAGAATAAGAGGCATTCTTATAACCATAAACCTAAGTTTCATAAGGGTAATAAGTCCCATCGAAGTCTACAGAATAAAAACTTTAGTGGTCCCAAAGGAGTTATAAAGAAAAATGATCAATTCAAGTTCTGTAAAAAGAAGGGTCACTGGCAGAAAGACTGTTTTAAGTTCAAGACTTGGTTAGAAAAGAAGAAGAGTTCTCCAGGTATTTCCTTGGTCTTAGTTTGTTTTGAGTCTTCTTTAGTGGATGTGCCATTAAATTTTTTGTGGTTAGACTCGAGAGCTAGTATTCATATTGCGAATTCCTTGCAGGGGTTCACAAGCAAACGGAGGCCAAGTGAGAATGAAGTGAGCTTGAGCGTTGCAAATGAAGTTCAAGTGAAAGTTGAGTTTATAGGAGTAGTGAAATTGACTTTAGATTAAGGTTTTTCTCTTGTTTTAGAAAATAGAGTTTATATACCGCAAATGAGACGGAATTTAATTTCTATATCGAAACTTGATACTTGTGGTTTTACATTTAATTTTGGTAATGGAATGGTTGAGTTATTTAGTGATTCTTGTTTGATTGGGAGTTGTATTTTATGTGATGGTTTATATAAATTGTCTTTGGCTCATTTTGATGATGTTTAGTGTGTTACCAATGTATCAAAGAAAATGACTTTAATTCATGGATCATCCTCTATGTTGTGGTATAAGCGTTTGGGTCATATTTCTAAGGATAGAATGGAAATATTAGTAAAAGTTGAGATACTTCCCTCTTTAGACTTCTCTGATTTTGGCACCTATGTGGATTGTACAAAAAGAAAGCTAACTAAGTCTACAAGGAAAGGTTCAACTAGGAGTAATGGAATTTTGGACTTGATACACACTGATATCGATGGACCTTTGCCTTCCACTATATGTGGGAATAAATACTTCATAACTTTCATTGATGATTTCTCATGGTACGGATATGTTTACTTGATTAACAATAAATCACATGCACTTGAGAAATTCAAAATTTTCAAACTTGAAGTAGAGAAATAATGTGGAAAAAGTATCAAAGTTATAAGGTCTGACCATGGTGGTGAGTACTATGGGAAATATGACTAGTTTGGTCACAATATGGGTGATTTTGCAAAGTTTTTAAAAGAGTGTAGAATAGTACCCCCAATACACCATGCCAGAAACACCTGAGCAGAATGGTGTTTCTAATAGACGTAATCAAACTCTAAAAAATATGGTTAGAAGTATGATGAGTAGAACAAATTTTCTTGAATATTTGTGGGGTGAAGTCTTGAAAACTGCTATGTATATTTTGAACAGAGGTCCAAGTTTAGCTGTTGTAAAGACACATTTTGAATTATGGACAGGACATAAGCTAAGTTTAGTTCACTTTAAAGTTTGGAGATGTCCAGCTGAGGTTAGGATTTATAATCCATTTGAAAAGAAATTATATCATAAATCAACTCCTGGCTACTTTGTTAGGTATCCGGACAGATCAAAGGGATATAAGTTTTATTGTCCAAATCGCGGCACTAGAATTGTGGAGTCCATTACTGGTAAGTTTCTGGAGAATGATTTTGGAGATGGTGAGAGTTCTACGTTGAGAGAAATTCTTGTTGAAGCTAATCAAGTTGTTGTTCCAGTTCCTATTATACAGAAAAGAGTTGGTTCTCAACCAATTGAACTTGTTAATGAAGAATTGAGGAATCAAAAGGAACCTCCAATTCCTCAAACAACGATTGAATCGATTTTTGAGCCATAAGTTAGGAGATCACAAAGGGAAAGAATATTTGCATTGCACAGTGATAATATTACATATTTATTGGAAAGAGATTTTAATATTGGGCATATTGTTGATCCTGTAACTTATAACCAAGCACTGACAAGTCCTGAGGTAGATAAATGGATAGCTGTCATGAAAGATGAAATGAATTCTATGGAAAAGAATAAAGTTTGGGATCTCGTTGAACTTTCTCCAGATGCTAAGGCTGTAAATAACAAGTGGATTTTCAAAAGTAAATTAGATTCAAAAGGAAATGTTGAACGAAAGAAAGCAAGATTGATTGTAAAAGTTTCACTCAACGAGAGGGCATTGATTATGTTCAAACCTTCTCCCCTGTTTCGTTGAAAGATTCTTTTCGAATTATCATGGCTCTTATGGCACACTACGACTTGAAGTTTCATCAAATGGATGTTAAGACAACATTTTTGAATGGAGATCTTTCTGAAATGGTTTATGTGAAACAACCTAAAGGTTTTGTTATGAAAGGAAAAGAAAACTTGGTATGTAAGTTAAACAAATCCTTATATGGTCTCAAGTAAGCATTTCGACAGTGGTATTTGAAGTTTGATGATGTTGTGACCTCTCTTGGTTTTGTTGTAAATACTATTTATCAATGCGTTTATCTCAAAACCAGTGGGAGATTTTATTTTTCTTGTACTATATGTTGATGACATTATGCTTGCTAGCAGTAACTTAGGATTGCTTTACGAGACAAATAAA